CCCCCCCCCCCCCCCCCCCTCCCCGCATGTTTGCACGAGCGCGCAAGCTTCGCCGGCGGAAGGCGCTCATGGATGTCACTCACTCAACGGGATAGATTCAAAGGTAACCACCGACCACCACCCACAACAAGTCAATGTCCGCGGTCCCAACACAAAATCGCCACTGTTTGCGCCTCTGCCCTTAGACCAACAAAAGGGGGCGGGGGAGATAATATGAATACGAATAAGACGTCCCTCCACAGCACCTACGCATAACACTGGGGTCACCAAGCAATGGACTCCAAAATTGGCCAGCAGTCGCTGCATAGGCAGGAGAGCAGGAGCAAACGGACGCCCGCAGCGCGCGCGCGCGGGGGGGGGGGGGCATGTACCCGCCCGGACAACCGTAATCCCAGCCTCCTCCTGAACGGAGGAACACTCCCCCCCCGAGACACACCAAAATATGGCAATAAGAGAGCAACGAAGCAAAAGTACCATTATTCTACATGAAGTCGTCGTACTTGCTCTCGTAGTCCATCCCGACACTGTCGATATCGTCGCCGTCGAAGTCACCGCCAAAAACCTCCGAGTGTGCCTGCGGAAAAGTGAGCGGGGGGCGCCAGAGGGAAACGGGAGAAAGAAAAAGCAGGAAGCACCGGGGCATCGCGCGCGGCGGCGGGGGCGGACCGCGCACATTTAGTCAAGACAAAACGAAACGGCACCGCGAGACATGGCAAACCCTCGATAGGGGTTACTACTCATGTTCAGGGAAGAAGCCTGTCGACTATCCCCTTCGTAGGAATCGAGCAAGCACCCATGCCGTTCAGCCAAAGCATGTCTCGCCAAATAACCACACTGCGAGAAGTATGCACGACAGATCTCTTGTCTGACCGAAGGGGCAAACTATCGCACCCCAATCAACAATAAACGAGTAGGCACGCAAAACCAAGCCCCGCGGCGGGAGCTGATCCAACAACGAAGGGACGCCAACAAGACGGCGGCAGCAACAAGCAACATTGCATTTACCACGTGAGGATACAGAAGTCAGTATATAATATATCAGGGCAAGCGTCCACCGAGAATCAGCAACACAAAAACAAAACAACGCGGCTCTCTCTCTCTCTCTCTGTTCGTCTGCATCTATCTGTCTATCTGTCTGTCTGTCTGTCTCTGTCTCACCTTCTTGTCCTTGATGGACTTCTTCTTGTTGGCGCGCTGGTTCGCGATGACGTTCGTCTTGTTCGCCTTCGCGCTCGCGATTCTCTCTTCCGCCTGGCGCTTCTCATCGCGGAACATGGCGGTGTGGTTCACCAGGTCGGTGAGCCCGTCCGCCGTCATCCTGGACGAAAGTTTCGTAACGAGCTCCTGTCCCACCAGCGAAAAAAAAAAAAATGGAAACAAAATAAAAAAAAAGGTGGAGGGTTTCGCGACGAGCTCCTGCTCCATAATAGGGAGAGAGGAAAAGAGCGAAAGTGGGGGGAATTGAAATAATTTATCTGAGAGAAACGGAGCGATCAGAGGAGGAAGGGGCACAAGGACGCGAGGCGGCGAGAGTGCTTGCACAAAAAGAGTCGTAAGTGTACATGGGACGCCGACCGACCTTCAGGAAAGCCGCCATGTGTTCGGGTTTGCTGGAGTCCATCCTCTCGGCGAGCTCAATCGCGAGCTTCACGTGGTCCTACGTGGCACAGGGTTGATTACCGCAGGCAAGGAACACGGTAAGCAGCAGCAGCAGCAGCAGCAGCAGCAGCAGCAGCGACCGGGGAAGGCATGTGGCACGTCGTAGGTGACAACACGGGCACCACGAGAAAGAACGTAAAACCGCAAAAAACCACACACAAAAAAAAGAAACACATGTATGTGCAATACCGGCAAGACTACTGGGTAGGCGCCGGCTGATGCTGCGGTTCGCGAGGCAGGCCGCCGGGGCGAGTACGCGTCACAACCTGGCACATTGGCAGTGAGCTGTCGGTGCTGCTACACGGAGAGCCCGTCGCCCGCTTCTGGCAGCACGAGTTGGGAAACATAATCTGCGGCGCCTATCTACCGCACCTAAATCTCGGCGCCGACCAGATCTTGACGGAGAGGATCACGCGTCTGGACCACCCGGTGCGTCCGACATACTCCAATAAAGCATTCTACAAATATATAGATGGGACGAAAACAAAGACGGCCAACTGATACTATTAAGGCATTCCGCCGAGCCCAAGTAGAAAAAAACAAGTTGGGGGGTGCACAAACGATCTGCGGGTTCTTACAACACAGTATGCCTCGAGGCGATCGAAGCGCTTGGCGGCGGGAAGGGGCATGGGAAAGGCATGCCCCCCCCCCCCCCAGNGCGAAACCATCGTTCTCCATTGCCTCTATTGCTACACGATTCGAACAAGCCTGACGACAATCGACGCTGCGACTCACCCCATCGACAACAACTTTCCGGGTGATAGGATGGCAACAACACCAACAAGAGACAGCAGCCAAGACTGGCCACCGACAATCGGCAGCAGAAATAAGGTCCCCCACCCACTCCCATGCCAAAACACAAAAGGCTGTAAACGAATAAAGAAGACAAGCCCGGGCTATAGGGGGAATCTGCGAATTCTGCAATTGTACAGTCTACAAAAAACCGTGGTACACTACACATGCAAACTATCGAGAGGAACACCCATCGCGCCACACGGGTGTTGGCATAAAAATACGCGGCAGGTCCCCCCCGCACCTGCATATTCTTTAGCGCGAGGCTAGACAACCCGCCCCCCGCTCCCTGCCCCCGCGCGCCCCCTCCGCCGAACAAGTCCTCCGTCAGGTCGTTGTCGGCCTCCTCCACGCGGTTCCGTTCGCGCAGGCGTCGTTGTTCAGCGGTCTCGCCCAGCTGCAATCGTGTCTCCAATTCTGCCTGAAATGTTTGCATGGAAACGTAACGACAACAATAGCGACGACGACGACAAACGACAAGAGCAAATTCAATCGCGAGAAAGGAGCAAGAAAGGGGGGGGGGGATGTACTCATAGTCGTGCATGCCGTAGTCGTTAGACCATTGACCTCGCATCCCTACAAAGCCGGGACGGAGCACGCCGGGTTCTCACCGGACCAGGCTCTCACATCACCAAGCGCGAAGCGCCGTGAGATATTCGGCGAGTCGCATGAAGGGTGCGCTGCATCCTGCTAAGGGTGTTCGGCATCTTGTGCTTACTTCCTTGCGTACGGATGACAGCTGCGTATGAATTAATTTATTTTCTGGTGCTTTCACTTCCAGAGACAGTTGTAAGCACTGTGTAACTGCCTCGAGGGTGCTTGACCATTTTAACACAACGTGGTGCGATCATCCCCCTTGCGCGCAGCGGGTTCTCCACCCCGCACAACATGATCTACTCGACCACCATTATGGTTACCGCCCAAAAAAAAAAACGGAGGTAAAAAAAAAAAAACGGTAACCTGGTTGCCGAGTTCACGAAGTGAATTGGCTTGTTTTACAACGTCCTTGCCAAGCGACGAAACCCATGGGGGGCGGCTTGTTTTACAACGTCGTTGCCAAGCGACGAAAACCCAACCCCGATGGCAAAACACCGGGGGGGGGAAAAGGGGGGGGGTTAAAAGAATAGTGGCTGGTGTAACGGGGAGTCTGTCCGCAAAGGTTTGACAGCGATGGCTCGAAGCATTTACTCAAAGCACAGCATAGCATACCCGGACATACCACCCTGATGGTCGTTGCAATTAGAGCACGACCTAGGCTGGTGAAGTGCA